GCAAAATTTAGTGGTTTCCTCCTGCCACAAAGACACGCATAGAAAGTTGAGATCTCCGGCAAAGTTTCAAAGCACACCTTCTGACAGATCACTTCAGCAGTTTTCTCATGTGCATATTTTAGAAGCACGTCCTTCTCAGCCAGGGATGTCTTCAGTTGAGCAATTTCAAACGAGCTGTGAGAAGTAAATTGTTAGAAAAAGCTGCTGATTCAAAACTGAAGCACGGGTTCGCTTCCAAAATGAGACTCACTTTGTTTCACCGCCCGGAGCAAATCCCATGCGAGCTTCAGCCAGTTCTCTTTCAAGCGTAGCAACCTGTAATTAAGCAAGTACACAAATATTAGGAAGCATTGATGAGTTCTAATTCAAACCTTCTCCTTGAGTTCCATAATCTTTTGCTGGCCCGCGTCGATATTAACAACCGGTTTGTTCTTAATTTTCTTAGCTCGATCTGCATATCTGAAAGAAAATAATTCCGAGCTGCTGCTTCAAGAGCTAATGCTATAACTACATGAGCAGAATGTGATTCAATGGAACACTATTATTTGCCTTTGAAACTGGAACTTTGCATAAAAATGCTGTTTTTTTTTCAATGCAATAACAGAACTGCAGAAGCACTTCTCTCTGGAATCTCATTCAATGTCTTACAAATATCAGCAGAGTTGATACCTTTTTTGGGCACTGAAAGTGAGGTTAATGCAACAGCCCCAGATTGAATTAGTGAGGTAACAGCAGCTAATGATGATGGTGTGGTAAAGACGTTCCTAGACGGACCTTCATCAACGCGAAGAGGCTACCATACCTGCCTCCCTATAGACTATCTTAACGCTACGTCATAATCCACTTTACGTGAGGGAGAGCGCGAAGTACCATGTCCAAAAACTAAGATTAGTAGCCAAAAATTCGCTTGTAAAGCCCTAGCGCCATTGTCGCGCAATTTAGAGAGGCTAAAATGGCACACCTGCGATAGTCCTGTCCCACCCACGGAACAAATTCATCGACGCGACCTTATCATGGATTGGGTTGTTTTGCCAAGTAGATTTGATAATTCTATTCAAACCACGAAGACAAAAGAACTCTCTCAACAAAGGTGACCATTACGTTCAAATGTGCTCTACCACTCAGTCAATAGAATGCCCATTTACAACACCAATTAAGGAAAAATCTAACGGCTGCTGTGTACGACCCAAGAATAGTGTTCTAACGAAGTGATAGGTGATACAATTTATGCTGTAAATATGGCCTGCTTGATTGCAGAAATGTCCAATTAGGCATGGAATCCATGTATAAATCCATAAATCCGCCGCTAAAATGGCTTATAATTGAACATATGGTTGGAGGAAGTAAAAATTTTAGATTTCTACAGGATGACTGGCAAATCATTGATGAAGCAAACCTTGCGCTCTGAAAGCGTCTAAGATGTTTCACGCAATTAATGGCTGAAAGGGCTTATGTCAAAGTTTTCGGCCTTCTTAGGTAACTGTTCTCCCTTGCGCAATGAAGTAAAGTGGTAATGACTGTATTAACAACACCTCAATGTGCTAAGTGTTTCCTCAGCATTTGAATCCGCCGGAGAAATGCATGCAATCATAACTGTGTACGAGTTGCCTCCAAGAGAATCTTAAAAATGTTGCTTAGATCAACACACACAGGAAGAAAACTGCAAAGAAGCTCACCTTGAAGAAGCCGAGTAATTTTTGAATCTCTGTACGGTATGTGTCGATTGTTACCCGTTTGTTCTGATAAGGCAGATATGACGTTTCCCAGTGCAAGCAAACCTGCAATTTGTTACATAAAGCTCACTCAAGAGATACAACCGTAAGTCAAATTAGAGGAAACTGAGCACCTGCATTCTTGAAATGTGCAGATCTTGCCTACAATATTAGTTAGAGCAAAGAAAACACCGACCTTCGTTGATCCTTATCCCTTCCATCTTGCGCGTTCCCTCTGCTTGAGTTTTCTTCAAGCGCTCGGATCCCGCTAGATCGACCAGATGCAGCTTTGCAGTGAAACCGTTGTCCCTTTAAGGTCAAAGTTGACTGCGCAATTATGCGAACAAATTTACTTCGTACTCACTCCTCTCCTGTGGCCGTCTTCTCAAGTGAAATCGTGAATATTGCGTGCGAACGACTACTCTGAGCATTCATTGCTGTTTGACCTTTGCTTCTAAGAGATCCTCCCTTTTCTAGTTGTGACATGGTCTCCACCAGGTTACGAACCTGGCTTTTTGACAGCCCTTGCACCTTCAATTATCGCGATGAGAAATAATTAATTAAGAAGATCCAGTAACAACTTACAAAAACGCTTCCTTCGTGTTCACGAACTTGAAGAGGTTCTCTTCCACCAGAGAGTAGGTCATGTACCTTTTCATCATATATTTCAAGCATAGATACAAACACCTAAACTACACGTCATAGTGCACAAAGTATGTTCCTTGTCATATAATGGTGCTGCTGATTTTTGTTCACAGACGGTTTGCGAATTAAAAACGTCGTCGAAAAAAGCATCGCCTCGCCACAACTCCAACAGAAATGGGTGACGCGATTTGGAACTAACCACCCTATAACCCTACTCACTACGAATCCAATGACGCGTGAACATTTTCCTTCTTCGTGGCTTCTCTCAAAAAATTCATCGAATTACCTAAGGGGAACACATCAGAATTGGCCACAATCATAACCAGCGGGAAGAAGATACAGAGAAGCATTCAGCAAATGATTAAGCTTTCTCCTATTCCTAAGTGGAATGAGAAAGGTCACTACTGCATTTTCCAAAAGCTGCTGGACATTTTGATACCGATTTAATCTCTAGTGGGACATTTTCACACAACAACTGGAGTTGAGAAGAAGTGAATACTTGGGAATAGATTTCAGCTGTGTTCTTTGTGTTTTCAATGGCTTATTAAATAGAGTGAGAATGAGCATACCTTAAAACACATTTCAAGGCCAGAATCTACTATTTGTTGGAAAATTGCTTCTACCAGACGGGGGATAATGCCTCTAGTCTGACTCTTCATGCTGGCAATAGTTTCCTCCGTACCCATCGTGAACGTCTTACCACTGCCCGTTTGTCCATAAGCCAATACAGTGCAATTGAATCCTTAATAATGATTGCAGTATAACTTTTTAGCAGAGAATGAAAAGACATGATAGCTGAAGCCCTAACCTTTGAAGAACTGCTCGAGAAGAAATGAAGTGGTCACATCATAAGCAGTGTCTTGTGGTGTTGAAGGATCCAGAACACCGTCAAATGTGAAGGCTCTGCCGTTACATGAAATCTGAGTGTAAGAAAGATATAGAAGTGAAATCAATTTTAGAAGTGGCTCTTATCTCGAAAAATTAAACACACCTGATTTAGCTCAACAAAAATTTGCAAGCACTCCCGAGCATTTTCGAGCTTTTCCCTGTCACTGAATGGTCTGGCGCGAACAAAAACCTTTACTGGAATGTCGTCTCCCATTCCGCAAGAAAAGTTAATACACGTGTTTGAGTGGCATAAAAGTTAGAGTTGAATTGTCCCTGGAAGAAATAGCAAATTTTGAGATCAGAAGCACACAACGATGCTCAGGTGGTATGTGAAGGTAGCGCATGAGTACAGACAATAAGCTCATTGTTCATAGCCCACGATTCAAGAGACAACAATCTATCAATTCACCGCTGAAAGGGAGGTATCTGTTCCAGGGGCCGTATCTTATTCTTCCCCCAGGCTAGGAGAAAAAAGATCTCTTTAATTTTTTTTGGTTTTCAGCGGTATAGTTTCCTTAATGTCAGCACAAGATTGCTTTCACACTCATACATACACAAGTAATCCATTTTTTAGGACAATTTTGGTAGGGTAAACAAAGAAAAGTAGACTAGACTTAAAGATACGATTCGAGAAGGATTTCTTCTTTCCTAACCTGAGGTATGGATAGGATAGGGACCCAGAAGGATCGTGAACGTTGAATCGCCAACGTCGCTCTCAGGGCAGAGCAGACCCCATCAAAACTCGTGCCGGCAAACTTGCTGGATCTTCAAATCGCCTAGTCGCCGATCTCCTATTCGACAGTTTTAACAATAATTTCAGCGGGATCGCCGAATCCCTCGAAATTGGAGGTGTGAATACTGCCAAGGAGAAATGAATTCGATCAAAGTCAATGTCATCAGAAGTTTGGAGATACAACCAACGCAAAGGAGGTTTTGACGTTAAGGTGCAAACTTCCTTTCCTGCTTTACCACCTCCTCCAAAGGACTTGCCGCTCGGAGTTGAAACAATCGATACAGAAATTAATCAACATTTGTTAAATACGAACGGCACTATCCAAATATTACAACCCCAAAATCTCAAAATTTTAATTTTCAGCGAAACTTCGCCCATAGGGGTTATTCGATGCCCTGATCACGAAAATGACATTCATTTTCAACTTGGCGCCATCTGGCGCATTGGCGCCACTTGCACTAGAGCTGGTTTTTACCAAATTCGCTGTAAACTTGTATACAGAGGTTATTTGGGGGTCCTGATTACGAATATAACATTCATTTTGGCGCCTGCGCCATTTGGCGCCTATTTTCGGCTCGTCTGCGCCCTCTCACTGATAGCTCGCGATCAGGACTAAGCCTTTGGGGAGAAGAGTGCTCCGAAGTGAGTAACACTTATCCTGTGATCTTATACGCTTCAACTTTTGCCACACGTTGCCTGGTTCACCCACCCAGGAGTCCTCCCTCCTCCTAAGCTTAGTCCTGAGGTAATATGTACAAGTGAGAGGGCCCAGGAAAACGGAAAATCTGCGTTGAATAGTGCAAATGCTGGAAACCAATGTATTCGTAATCAGGACCCCAAATAACCCCTGTATACAAGTTTACAGCGAATTTGGTGAAAATAGCCCTGGCGCCAAATGGCGCCAAATGGCGCCAACGCCAAAAATGAATGTCATTTTCGTAATCAGGGCATCGAATTACCCCTATAGGCGAAGTTTCGACGAAAAATAAAATTTTGAGATTTTGGGGTAATAGTTGAATAGTGCCAAAAGGCTGAAGACGGAACTCATTCGAAATCTTCAGATTCATTCCTAGCGCAAAGTACACAAAGAAACGCAGACATGAAGAATAATCATTGTAAACGTGGCGAATCGCTTCATACGTAACTATGTACTTATCTATGCCCCGTTATACTTCCAAACACATTAAACCTTTGACAATAGGAAGCAAACAGCAAAGCAGTCACTGGATATGACCGGACCGCACGCTACCTGACAAGAAAAGCTCATAGAAGTGGCAAATTTAGTCTTAGATGAATTAGTGACAATCTTCTCAACAGAAAGAACCTCTCGGAACATTTTACCAGCATTATGAGATTTCAAATTTCAAAACATAAATGTTGCCGCAATTTCCATTGTGCGGTCCCAACGCGATGACAACAGGGGTTGATTGGAGCGACTTATCTACACGACATTTCTTTCACCTTGCAAATGCATTCTTTGAATTGTTTTGATTTCATAATTGGGAGATACTTGCACGCTTCCAGATGACGTACTTCACAAGCTGGGAAGAATTTGCGAAAGCAGTTGAGAAACTACACTCTGTCAGTGCGGAGAAATGCAGGTGGGCCTGCATAATTTCATTAGATCTACTTACCAACACTTTTTTTATGGCGTTCAGTAAATATGCGTTGCCGTGAAAGAATCATGATGTAATAGAAATTTTTAATGGTATGATATGTTCATGTCACAAGTTTCAATCTTAAAAAAATCAACGATTTGTTAACACAGTCTAGTCGGGGCACTAAACTATTTATTACAGGTCAAATCTCATGATTTATTTTTGAAACTGTGCCTTTGGGGTAAACCAGTGCTCGAATAACGGGCATGACGCTCAGTTCCTGTCACTTGCCCGATTTG